TCCTTTCACTGGCACTTCTGTCTCCCACTTACCTGCAGCAACTGCTGGTGAATACGCAGAGGTTTGCTTAATGATGCATTTTACTACGCAAATGTCATTGAAGATCTTAGCATTGTGCTTTTCGTTGCTGAAGATGACTGCTGAAGTCCCACTGTTGTTTTCCTCAGGTGTGCAAATGCAGGTACTTAAAATTAATGCATCTCTACTGCTACAGACCAAGAGACTGAGAAGGCCCCTACTCACTGCTGTGGTAAAACCCTGAGATTCCCATATACACTCCCCAATAAAGAAGCTAGATGCAAGTTTTATAGTGATTTAAAAGACTGCATTTAAGGCTATGTCACACACTCAAAAATATTCAATAGTCTTTCTGATGGTTCTTTTGGTAAAATGGAGGGCACAAGGGTATTTCATATGAATCAACTGTCAAGGCACTTAAATTTCACTGAAACTCAATTTCTTCCATAAAAAAACAAAAAACCCACTCACTCGTTCTGTATATGCTGAGAGGACAACTAGACTTTTATGAGTCAAAAAACAAATGAGGTGGATTGAAAGCTGCCTGAATGGCAGAGCTCAGCAGGTAGGTGCAAAGTCTAGCTGGAGGCCTGCAGCTAGCAGGGCCCCCCAGGGGTCAATCTTGAGTCCAGTCGTGTTCAACTTATTCACCACTGACCAGGAGGAAGGCACAGAGTGCACCCTCAGCAAGTGTGCTGATGATACAAAACTGGGGGGAGTGGCTGACACACCAGAAGACTGTGCTGCCAGAAGGACCTCGACAGGCTGAAGAGACGGGCAGAGAGGAACCTCCTGAAATTCAACAAAGGCAAGTGCAAGGTCCTGCACCGGGGGAGGAATAACCCCATGCAGCAGTACAGGCTGGGGGCTGACCTGCAGGAAAGCAGCTCTGCAGAGAAGGACCTGGGTGCCCTGGTGGACAAGTTAAGCATGAGCCAACAACGTGCTCTTCTGGCCAACAAGGCCAAGGGTATCCTGGGGTGCATCAGGCAGAGCGTTGCCAGCAGGTCAGGGGAGGTGATCCTGCCCCTCAGCCCTGGTAAGGCCTCACACGAACTGCTGTGTCCAATTCTGGGCTCCCCAGTACAAGATATGGAACTGCTGGAGAGAGTCCAGTGAGTGGCCACTAAGGTAATTAAGGGATTAGAGCCTCTCTCACATAACAGAAAAAGCTGGGAGAGCTGGGCCTGTTTAGACTGGAGAAGAATGGGGAGGCGGGGGGGAAGGAACTTATCTATGTGTATAAATATCTAATAGAAGGGCGTCAAAACGATGGGGACAGACTTTTTTCAGTGGTGCCCAGTGACAGGATGAGAGGCAATGGGCACCAACTGAAATACGAGAACTTCTGTCTGAATCTATGGAAAAAACTTTTGTTTTACACTGTGAGAGTGACTGAGCACTGGCACAGGTTGTGCCCAGAGAGGTTGTAAAGTCTCCATCCTTGGAGATATATTCAAAAACCATGTGGACACAGTCCAGGGCAGCCTGCTCAAGGTGAGCAGAGGGGTTGAACTAGATAATCTCCAGAAGGCCCTTCCAACCTCACTCTTCCTGTGATTCTGTGAACAGCCAAAGTCAGCAGGTAGAAGTTTTGAAAAATGGATTACAAATCTTTACTGAAGATATCCTACCATGCAGAGGTAAACAACTCTGTTACAAGGAGGATCAGCAATCAAGTCAGTAAAAAGACTATGCTGGAGAGAGAGGCAGGCCTTTGGCATGTTCAGTGTGGCAGAGATGCTGTGACAAGATCGAGGCAAGCATGCAGCAATTCAATGATGTGATGAAGAAACACCAATGATACAAAAGAGAGAAGATACATCGGCATACTTCTGAAATCAGGCAAAAGCAGAAGTCCCCTGCAACCATTACTGGAGTTAGGAGGAAACCTGTTCACCTCGATGCAGGAGATTTGTTGACTACATCAATGGGAGGAGAGGCATCTAAAAAAAGTCTAAAACCAATTTCTGTTTTCTACAGAACAAATACCCAGAACTGTTGCTTTGAAAATGTTAGAAAAATGCACAGAAGGCATACATCCAAGACTAAAGGAGTTTCTGAACTGCTTCCAGATAATCTGTCCAGATGCATAATTTGGTGGGAAGCACTGATTTTATTAGACAGGAAAAAGTGAAATAATCTCTAGGAAATAGCTACTGTGAAGCCATCTGTGAGAAGCTTAACAGACTTCTCTCTGGCAATAGACTACCCTGCCAAATTCCCATCTTTTAACAGGCAACTAAATGAAGCAAAGACAGCACTAGCTTGGAGTTCTGCTGATACAAGAGGAAAAAGGATATGTAACACCCACATATAAGTATATCTATATATGAATATCTCAATACATACACACACACATATATACATACATATATATATATATAGAGAGAGAGAGAGAGTCTAGCCCCAATCAGGATCACAAATCAGAGTTACATAGGCACCTTTTTTTTTTTTTTAAATCCTCTTAGGGATTATAAAATTACTACTTATTTGGGAAGTGTAACAGCTCTGCTGACAGCTGTCCTAAAAAGCATAGCTCAAAGGGTGTTTGCATTAAATAAGTTACAGAAAAAGTGCGCATTTCTCAGGTTCTGAACCAAATAACTGTGGTGCTGAAAGGAAAACTGAAAGAATGTATCTTGTCACATATGGATAGCAGCTTGTACCTCGCACACCGCAATTGCAGTTCAAAGAGTGCTTCAGCGTATTCACACTAAAATAGGTGGGTGGTCATTCTGTGACCGCTTGGCTGAACCTAGAATGATGTGGGAAATTATAAACTGTAGTATTTGCCTAGTTTTGAAAACTGACAGCTACTTTTAAAATACATTCTCTTTTCAATTTCCACTTCTGCTTTTTGCAGGTTTTACATTAGAGTAACGAAGATGATAAAGTGGAAAAGGCTTCGCTGTTTCAGCTGGCCACAGTCCAACTAGATTGTCTTACTTTGGGCAAAATATTTGTTTTAAGAAAGAGAAGATCAGCCTGAATCACAAGCCCATTAAGCGATAAACAAAAACTGCTGCATCCTTGGCACAGAAAGAGATGAGTCACACTCTAATGACTGGGAAGGTGTTCAGAAAGCTCACCTTGTACAGGCGTCACTACCGTCCCCTTGAAATGTGGGTTTATGTGTATGTTCTTCGGTTGCTGAGGTGTCACTGGCGGTGGAGTCATCATTATTCTAGGGGTTTCTATCTGAGGGGGCATATGTAGCCCTGGAGGAGGGGAAGAATGATGCTGATGCTGTAAAGGAAGCAGAGATTGTAACTGTTGCTGCTGCTGCTGCTGCTGCTGTTGTT